TGCTGTCACCCTGGAGTGTTGCTGTTGTGTTGCTGTCACCCTGGAGTGTTGCTGTTGTGTTGCTGTCACCCTGGAGTGTTGCTGTTGTGTTGCTGTCACCCTGGAGTGTTGCTGTTGTGTTGCTGTCACCCTGGAGTGTTGCTGTTGTGTTGCTGTCACCCTGGAGTGTTGCTGTTGTGTTGCTGTCACCCTGGAGTGTTGCTGTTGTGTTGCTGTCACCCTGGAGTGTTGCTGTTGTGTTGCTGTCACCCTGGAGTGTTGCTGTTGTGTTGCTGTCACCCTGGAGTGTTGCTGTTGTGTTGCTGTCACCCTGGAGTGTTGCTGTTGTGTTGCTGTCACCCTGGAGTGTTGCTGTTGTGTTGCTGTCACCCTGGAGTGTTGCTGTTGTGTTGCTGTCACCCTGGAGTGTTGCTGTTGTGTTGCTGTCACCCTGGAGTGTTGCTGTTGTGTTGCTGTCACCCTGGAGTGTTGCTGTTGTGTTGCTGTCACCCTGGAGTGTTGCTGTTGTGTTGCTGTCACCCTGGAGTGTTGCTGTTGTGTTGCTGTCACCCTGGAGTGTTGCTGTTGTGTTGCTGTCACCCTGGAGTGTTGCTGTTGTGTTGCTGTCACCCTGGAGTGTTGCTGTTGTGTTGCTGTCACCCTGGAGTGTTGCTGTTGTGTTGCTGTCACCCTGGAGTGTTGCTGTTGTGTTGCTGTCACCCTGGAGTGTTGCTGTTGTGTTGCTGTCACCCTGGAGTGTTGCTGTTGTGTTGCTGTCACCCTGGAGTGTTGCTGTTGTGTTGCTGTCACCCTGGAGTGTTGCTGTTGTGTTGCTGTCACCCAGTGTTGCTGTTGTGTTGCTGTCACCCTGGAGTGTTGCTGTTGTGTTGCTGTCACCCTGGAGTGTTGCTGTTGTGTTGCTGTCACCCTGGAGTGTTGCTGTTGTGTTGCTGTCACCCTGGAGTGTTGCTGTTGTGTTGCTGTCACCCTGGAGTGTTGCTGGAGTGTTGTGTTGCTGTCACCCTGGAGTGTTGCTGTTGTGTTGCTGTCACCCTGGAGTGTTGCTGTTGTGTTGCTGTCACCCTGGAGTGTTGCTGTTGTGTTGCTGTCACCCTGGAGTGTTGCTGTTGTGTTGCTGTCACCCTGGAGTGTTGCTGTTGTGTTGCTGTCACCCTGGAGTGTTGCTGTTGTGTTGCTGTCACCCTGGAGTGTTGCTGTTGTGTTTGCTGGAGTGTTGCTGTTGTGTTGCTGTCACCCTGGAGTGTTGCTGTTGTGTTGCTGTCACCCTGGAGTGTTGCTGTTGTGTTGCTGTCACCCTGGAGTGTTGCTGTTGTGTTGCTGTCACCCTGGAGTGTTGCTGTTGTGTTGCTGTCACCCTGGAGTGTTGCTGTTGTGTTGCTGTCACCCTGGAGTGTTGCTGTTGTGTTGCTGTCACCCTGGAGTGTTGCTGTTGTGTTGCTGTCACCCTGGAGTGTTGCTGTTGTGTTGCTGTCACCCTGGAGTGTTGCTGTTGTGTTGCTGTCACCCTGGAGTGTTGCTGTTGTGTTGCTGTCACCCTGGAGTGTTGCTGTTGTGTTGCTGTCACCCTGGAGTGTTGCTGTTGTGTTGCTGTCACCCTGGAGTGTTGCTGTTGTGTTGCTGTCACCCTGGAGTGTTGCTGTTGTGTTGCTGTCACCCTGGAGTGTTGCTGTTGTGTTGCTGTCACCCTGGAGTGTTGCTGTTGTGTTGCTGTCACCCTGGAGTGTTGCTGTTGTGTTGCTGTCACCCTGGAGTGTTGCTGTTGTGTTGCTGTCACCCTGGAGTGTTGCTGTTGTGTTGCTGTCACCCTGGAGTGTTGCTGTTGTGTTGCTGTCACCCTGGAGTGTTGCTGTTGTGTTGCTGTCACCCTGGAGTGTTGCTGTTGTGTTGCTGTCACCCTGGAGTGTTGCTGTTGTGTTGCTGTCACCCTGGAGTGTTGCTGTTGTGTTGCTGTCACCCTGGAGTGTTGCTGTTGTGTTGCTGTCACCCTGGAGTGTTGCTGTTGTGTTGCTGTCACCCTGGAGTGTTGCTGTTGTGTTGCTGTCACCCTGGAGTGTTGCTGTTGTGTTGCTGTCACCCTGGAGTGTTGCTGTTGTGTTGCTGTCACCCTGGAGTGTTGCTGTTGTGTTGCTGTCACCCTGGAGTGTTGCTGTTGTGTTGCTGTCACCCTGGAGTGTTGCTGTTGTGTTGCTGTCACCCTGGAGTGTTGCTGTTGTGTTGCTGTCACCCTGGAGTGTTGCTGTTGTGTTGCTGTCACCCTGGAGTGTTGCTGTTGTGTTGCTGTCACCCTGGAGTGTTGCTGTTGTGTTGCTGTCACCCTGGAGTGTTGCTGTTGTGTTGCTGTCACCCTGGAGTGTTGCTGTTGTGTTGCCGTCACCCTGGAGTGTTGCTGTTGTGTTGCCGTCACCCTGGAGTGTTGCTGTTGTGTTGCCGTCACCCTGGAGTGTTGCTGTTGTGTTGCTGTCACCCTGGAGTGTTGCTGTTGTGTTGCTGTCACCCTGGAGTGTTGCTGTTGTGTTGCTGTCACCCTGGAGTGTTGCTGTTGTGTTGCCGTCACCCTGGAGTGTTGCTGTTGTGTTGCTGTCACCCTGGAGTGTTGCTGTTGTGTTGCTGTCACCCTGGAGTGTTGCTGTTGTGTTGCTGTCACCCTGGAGTGTTGCTGTTGTGTTGCTGTCACCCTGGAGTGTTGCTGTTGTGTTGCTGTCACCCTGGAGTGTTGCTGTTGTGTTGCTGTCACCCTGGAGTGTTGCTGTAGTGTTGCTGTCACCCTGGAGTGTTGCTGTTGTGTTGCTGTCACCCTGGAGTGTTGCTGTTGTGTTGCTGTCACCCTGGAGTGTTGCTGTAGTGTTGCTGTCACCCTGGAGTGTTGCTGTAGTGTTGCTGTCACCCTGGAGTGTTGCTGTTGTGTTGCTGTCACCCTGGAGTGTTGCTGTCACCCTGGAGTGTTGATGTTGTGTTGCTGTCACCCTGGAGTGTTGCTGTTGTGTTGCTGTCACCCTGGAGTGTTGCTGTTGTGTTGCTGTCACCCTGGAGTGTTGCTGTAGTGTTGCTGTCACCCTGGAGTGTTGCTGTTGTGTTGCTGTCACCCTGGAGTGTTGCTGTTGTGTTGCTGTCACCCTGGAGTGTTGCTGTTGTGTTGCTGTCACCCTGGAGTGTTGCTGTTGTGTTGCTGTCACCCTGGAGTGTTGCTGTTGTGTTGCTGTCACCCTGGAGTGTTGCTGTTGTGTTGCTGTCACCCTGGAGTGTTGCTGTTGTGTTGCTGTCACCCTGGAGTGTTGCTGTTGTGTTGCTGTCACCCTGGAGTGTTGCTGTTGTGTTGCTGTCACCCTGGAGTGTTGCTGTCACCCTGGAGTGTTGCTGTTGTGTTGCTGTCACCCTGGAGTGTTGCTGTTGTGTTGCTGTCACCCTGGAGTGTTGCTGTTGTGTTGCTGTCACCCTGGAGTGTTGCTGTTGTGTTGCTGTCACCCTGGAGTGTTGCTGTTGTGTTGCTGTCACCCTGGAGTGTTGCTGTTGTGTTGCTGTCACCCTGGAGTGTTGCTGTTGTGTTGCTGTCACCCTGGAGTGTTGCTGTCACCCTGGAGTGTTGCTGTCACCCTGGAGTGTTGCTGTCACCCTGGAGTGTTGCTGTCACCCTGGAGTGTTGCTGTCACCCTGGAGTGTTGCTGTCACCCTGGAGTGTTGCTGTCACCCTGGAGTGTTGCTGTTGTGTTGCTGTCACCCTGGAGTGTTGCTGTTGTGTTGCTGTCACCCTGGAGTGTTGCTGTTGTGTTGCTGTCACCCTGGAGTGTTGCTGTTGTGTTGCTGTCACCCTGGAGTGTTGCTGTTGTGTTGCTGTCACCCTGGAGTGTTGCTGTTGTGTTGCTGTCACCCTGGAGTGTTGCTGTTGTGTTGCTGTCACCCTGGAGTGTTGCTGTTGTGTTGCTGTCACCCTGGAGTGTTGCTGTCACCCTGGAGTGTTGCTGTTGTGTTGCTGTCACCCTGGAGTGTTGCTGTTGTGTTGCTGTCACCCTGGAGTGTTGCTGTTGTGTTGCTGTCACCCTGGAGTGTTGCTGTTGTGTTGCTGTCACCCTGGAGTGTTGCTGTTGTGTTGCTGTCACCCTGGAGTGTTGCTGTTGTGTTGCTGTCACCCTGGAGTGTTGCTGTTGTGTTGCTGTCACCCTGGAGTGTTGCTGTTGTGTTGCTGTCACCCTGGAGTGTTGCTGTTGTGTTGCTGTCACCCTGGAGTGTTGCTGTTGTGTTGCTGTCACCCTGGAGTGTTGCTGTTGTGTTGCTGTTGTGTTGCTGTCACCCTGGAGTGTTGCCGGTGTTGTAGTCCTGGAGTGTTGCCGGTGTTGTCGTCCTGGAGTGTTGCCGGTGGTGTCGTCCTGGAGTGTTGCCGGTGGTGTCACCCTGGAGTGTTGCCGGTGGTGTCACCCCTGGAGTGTTGCCGGTGGTGTCACCCCTGGAGTGTTGCCGGTGGTGTCACCCCTGGAGTGTTGCCGGTGTTGTTACCCTGGAGTGTTGCCGGTGTTGTCGTCCTGGAGTGTTGCCGGTGTTGTCGTCCTGGAGTGTTGCCGGTGGTGTCACCCTTGGAGTGTTGCCGGTGTTGTTACCCTGGAGTGTTGCCGGTGTTGTCACCCCTGGAGTGTTGCCGGTGGTGTCACCCCTGGAGTGTTGCCGGTGGTGTCACCCCTGGAGTGTTGCCGGTGTTGTCAAAAGGTTTACACACACGTTACATAGATATAAATACAGATGTGTTGGTGTGCAGCACATCTCTCCCCTCCACCACCGTTGTTCCCGTTGTTGTTAAATTGATTCCCGTTGATACAGAGAGCGATTTTCCCGTTGATTGTTGTCCTGCAACACAATCCTTCAGTGTTGCAGTTGACCGAGGCCAAGAGTAAGTAAACTGTCAGCTTGACTGTTGCATAATGCGCACGAAATAAAGATTTTTTAACGTTATGGTCAGAGCCTGAATTACAACAAAGTTAACCAACTCTAATAATTTGTTCTTTGTCTTGCAGGAATGAAGAAAGGATACCAGGTGTGCAGGTGGTGGTGGTAGGCGTACAGGTGCACAGGCGTGTACACAGTGTCAGGATGTGTGCACCTTAACACCGCCCCACCCCCCTTTCATGTACGCAGCCATACCCAGAAGACAAACAGGCATGTGAACTGTGCTTGAGTCTGTTTACAGACATACCCCCACTACGATGACGTAAGTAAACAAGGGCGATGACGTCAAGAGAAAGGTCAACAGTTATCCGAAGGCCTAATAAAGGGAAGTGCGGGAGTTCTGGCCTAGTTAAAGGCGTATCTACGACCTACGCGCGAAGGAACCTCGAGGAACTCCACGAAGTCGACACACAGATACCAGTGATCGGGGAGGCTGGCCCCAGCAGTGAGAGTGGCGGGGCCGCCTCCCGCCTTCCCAGCACCAGTGATGGCGGCTCACACGCCTCGGAAAGTCAGTTAGAGAAAGATAATGGAATTAGAAGCGTTATCCGTCATGCTGGTCAGCCCAAGGCAGAGAGCATCGTGCATCTCACTGACAGAGGGGGCGGTGTCGGAGGCACGACGGTCAGTTTATCCCCCGGGACGGGGCCGGGCGGGCAGCCACAACCACCTTGGCCCACTCTCCCAACCAAGACAAACATATCCATGAAGAGGCAGTTAACAAGACCGGAGAGGCACGACAGGAGAGGGAGTTCAGAGGGCGGGCGCGGCGGCGGCGGGTCAGGTGGCGAGGCGGCGGGGGAGGCGAGGGCGGGAGAGTGTGGCGGCGGCGCCAGTTACTCGCGGGCTGTTGCCAGTGAGAGGGAGGCGGCGATCACAGTCACCGTCTCAGATACAAGTTCAGTGGACTCCCCCCTCCTCTCCCCCCACCACCCCCTCCTCCACCCCTCCGACAGGAACCCGGACTCTAAACTCATCAAAGTCGAGATCGTCGGCGCCCAAAACATGGACCTGGACTCGGGAGGACGCTTCGAGAGACGGACTACCATCATTGACAGGTAAGTGCACTTAAGTGTTGGACGACTGTGCTGGAACTTGGGTTGACAGCTGGCAAAAAAAGAGGAGCTTGCCTGAACACTTTGGCTCGTAATGGTCTCTCCAACAGCTTGATTATTGCTCCGGAGTTGGCGAAATGAAAGTCTTTAGATGAAGGATGTATTGAAATGTAATATTATTATTCTGCATAAGCTCAGTCATTGAGTGAGGCAAGTGCTTTAATATGATGTGTGACGTAAGTAATAATATAAAAGTTGTACTAGGAGTTTATACAGGGAACTTTATACCCCGGGAACACACTCTTGGTAGTTGACCAGCGCTCCCAGCCTTCAGCTCTACACACACAGTTTCTCACGTACTCAAGAACGCGAAAACTAAATAATTGGATAAATCTCATTGGTTTGAGTTCGAAGATTCTTCGAACTTCGATTCTTCGCGGCGGGGATCGTATTCCAAGGACCATAGGATTAAGGACTTGCCCGAAACGCTACGCGTACTAGTGGCTGTACAAGAATGTAACAACTCTTGTATATATCTCAAACAAAACAAACAAACAAACAAAAAAAGATGGTTACCACTTTCTCATGTTATGTTTGCTTTATGAGTCGTGTCTGTAGCTGAGGCAACGGTGAATGGTATTGGCTGCAGGATACTAGTTCATTCGTATGTGTTTACCTTGCGTGAGGATGCTTGTGCAGCCTCTTAGGTCACCGAGATGGTGATCTTTCTTCATTAACTGGTGATCTGGCTCGACCCGGCTGGTGATCTGGCTCGACCCGGCTGGTGATCTGGCTCGACCCAGCTGGTGATCTGGCTCGACCCAGCTGGTGATCTGGCTCGACCCAGCTGGTGATCTGGCTCGACCCAGCTGGTGATCTGGCTCGACCCAGCTGGTGATCTGGCTCGACCCAGCTGGTGATCTGGCCCGACCCAGCTGGTGATCTGGCCCGACCCAGCTGGTGATCTGGCTCGACCCATTTTCACGTGCTGTAAAATATGATGCCTGTCGATTTGTATTTTGAACTTCTATTGTGTAATGTGAAGTTCTGATCTACCTGGGCGTCTCTTGATATGTTGGGAGACGGGTGATATATTGGTGGACAAGCGATGTGTTGGTGTCCAGGGGATGTTAGTGGGTAGAGGTTGATGGACAGGTGAATGTACACACCTAGTAATAGGTGAGTACAAGGAACAATGTGTTAGTGGACAGGTGATATTGACAGTGGAGATGCGATAGCATCAGTGGACAGATGAATATATCCCCGAACAGGTGAACGTTTCAGTGGACGAGTGAACGTTTCAGTGGACGGGTGACCGTGTCAGTGGGCGTCCATCTTCACTACTAACTAGACTGGTCACGGTAGCTCTCCTTACACAGTTCGCTCATTAAACAGTTCGAGCTTCGAAGCGCTACTCGTTGACCACAATACCTCTGGGCTGTGAAGCTTCCGAGTTCATAAACTGTTTTATGATTGTCAAGCAAGCGGCAATGGTTGGTGGAAGATGTATAGGTTTCGTAAGTCAATGGGTAAAAAAGTTTGGTCAATCCTGGCACTGGATTATGTTATTTCTTTTATTGGGTAAGGTAATGTAATAATTAGGAGAAAGCACTAAGCCAGTATGTCTATATATAATGCTTCGGTAATTGAGCATCGCAAAACAAATGAAAGAAAGAAAGAAAAAGAAGGGAAACCAGGTTGGGTTGGGTTTCTGGCTCGTTACGGGCTCTCTGTATGTGAGCACCTCACCTCACCTCACATTGTAGCGCCTCACCTCACTATGAAACACTTCACCTCATTGTGTAGCACATCACTCCACTATGTAGCATCTCACCTCACCATTTAACACCTCACCTCACCATTTAACACCTCACCTCACCATTTAACACATCACCTCACCATTTAACACCTCACCTCATCATGTAGCTCCTCACCTCATCATGTAGCATCTCGCCTCATCATGTAGCACCTCACTGGAGGTGCTACATAGTCATTTCGTTCTGAGTAGCTCAATCTAAAACAACATACATCATCAGTGGAACATGGGCCAGTTGAAACGTGCTCTTAAAGGTGACAGGAAGCCGTACATTGTGTGGACGCCCACACCACATGATGAATGACAATGAAGGACCGACAACATTTCGGTTCTTCCTGATTTATTATCAAGTCGTGTAACGTACCTGAAAATTGTCCAAGACAGACCGAAACGTATTTTTTTGTTTCATTTTCGGATGTATGGGTTGGTATCGTGACTCATCGTCTACATGTATTTTGTTTTGCTGTTGGAACACGTGGGATGAGGTGTATCAAGAGACTTCTTCCATGTGAAGGGAATGTTAAACTTAACCACAGTGTTATGATGTCCAAATTGGGCACAAACCATTTAGATACGACTAGTTCAGTTGGCTTCGTTCTCGACTCAAAATCGTGGATCCCATGTTCGATTGTCGGGCGGGACAGAAATGGTTTGGCACGTTTCCTTTCACGTAGTACCTGTATTTATCGAACAATAAATAGGTGCCCGGGAGTTGGGCAGCAGTTGTGTGGTAACATCCTGGGGGAGGGTCAGCAGTGCCACCTTGAGGTGGACCTTGATACTATCCTGACATGTATACAGACAGGCGTCCTCTTCCCCGCAAAACAAATTATTATATATAACGGGTTGCAGTGAAGGCTTTTGTAGACCCTTTACAAGTTAACATCGGCCGCTGTCCTTGCAGGAGTACGACCCGTCCTCAGACCAAGTCCATTACTTCCAGCGGTCGACCCCACAGACGTATTCATCAATTTTAACATGCTCTTCATTCAAAACGGGAATTTTCTCAAATATAAATTATTATAATATATTGTACATATATAGGCATAGTTTAGGTTCTGTTGGCGATTATTTGTATTTGTAGTACGTGGGTGAAGCATTTACATCGTTGTGGTTTGAACAAATGTTGTCAGCAAAGCATTTGTTCAGGAAATGTTCGAACGTCAGCCCGTCCTCCAAACAAAGACCCAAAAGTGATTCCATCCACCCGCCAAACCCCCTGTTTATGAATGAAAAGCGGTTTACACACGACTCTCAACTGCTGACGTTCGAACATATCTGGAACAAGTGTTTCACTGACGAATTTTGTTCGAATCACAACGCTATAAATGCTTCACCTACGTACTACAAATACAAATAATCGCCAACAGAACCTAAACACCTAACCTAACCTATGCCTATATATGCACAATATGCTAATATATTATAATATTAATTTATATTTGAGAAAATTCCCGTTTTGAACGAAGAGCATGTTAAAATTTATGAATACGTCTCCGCTGGATGGAATGGACTTCAGTCGAGGACGGGTTGGTTTGGCGGGCGCATGGAATGGATTTTGGCCTTTGTTTATGCGACAGGGCTGAGGAGCAAACACTTGTCGCACGGCTGATCCTTCAAACTTTTATTACTGCTATCCAGCACAGATGTTTTTCACCGTTGTTGTCCTCTGCTCTATATGAGTCGCTGGCACACTAACTGGTTCAGGAGTATTTAAGGAGCTTCAATCAGATGACTCCTCGAAAGAAAACAAGCCACCGACAGTGATTGTTTTTGTCTCGCCCAATAGCAGGCGAGCTCGCTGATGTCTGACGTCATAGCATCTCCCCCATTGGTCAATCTGGTGACGTGACCCGTCAAGTGTCGTCGACTTTGTGATGACTGGACGCTATTTTGTTTTACCTAAAATATTTCATAAAATAAGATTTAACTTTGTAACACTTTCTGCACAAAGTTATGCTTCCTGAACTACGTGTTCTGGCCGTGTTGTGGTGGAGGCGGGTGGCTGACGGGTTGTGGTGGAGGCGGGTGGCTGACGGGTTGTGGTGGAGGCGGGTGGCTGACGGGTTGTGGTGGAGGCGGGTGGCTGACGGGTTGTGGCGGAGGCGGGTGGCTGACGGGTTGTGGCGGAGGCGGGTGGCTGACGGGTTGTGGCGGAGGCGGGTGGGGACGACTGAAGGTAGAGTGGACATCGTGGGTGGGGGGCGGGGGTGGGGTGGGGCAGGCTGGCAGTCAAGTGCCCTCGGGCAGCTGGTAAAATCCGCCTCGGATCGCTTTCACACGCCATTGACAGATTAATTTTACGCTATTTACCACCTGTCTCTCCTCTTAAATTATCTCTAATTCGTGTCACTTTTCACTCATTTCTAGACATAACAATTACTTATTATTCCTGATGGTGATAGTTCAGTAACACCTTCCTGTACGAGGTCTCCCTATCACAGTCTTAATTATTCCAAGCGTCCCCCAGCTGATGACTGTTGAACTATTTCACTTCACGTTGTCCTTTTTGCACTATTTCCTCTGAATTCTCTCTTTTTTCATAGCTTAGCGGTGTATTTAATTTACAGCTCTCTTTTCACCGTAGAGACGGTGTTTCATAACATATCTTCCACACTTCCGTGGAAATAGAGGTCGATTGAGCTTCGGCTTCACATGCGTAGGGTTCACGGTTCCTAAGGTTCGAGTCACTGAGAGCCCAGGGGTCAGATTCACGAAGCAGTTACGCAAGTACTTGTGAACGTGTCAGTCCGTCCTCGAAACAGACCTAAAAGTGATTCCATGCACCGCCAAACCCCCTGTTTATGACTGGAAAAACGGTTTACGCACGACTCACACAACCCGTCCTCGACTCAATTACATTCAGCGGTCAACCCCACAGACGTATTCATAAATTTTAACATAATGTTCATTCAAAACAGGAATTTTCTCAAGTATAAATTAATATTATAATATATTAGCATATTGTGTATATATATGCATAGGATAGGTTAGGTGTTTAGTTTCTGTTGGCGATTATTTGTATTTGTAGTACGTGGGTGAAGCATTTATAGCGTTGTGATTCGAACAAAATTCGTCAGTGAAGCACTTGTTCCGGATATGTTCGAATGTCAGCAGTTGTGAGTCGTGTGTAAACCGCTTTTCATTCATAAACAGGTGGTTTGGCGGGTGCATAGAATCACTTTCGGGTC